ACTGCGTTATCAATGTGTCTAATGTCATATCCCATTTCTGGGATTGTTATATTTAGAAACAATCCTTGTGGTAAGAATTGCAAAACATATGCCAAAGAATTGTAAATTTGAAGAAAGGTTCAGATAACTCATCAGCTGACAAGGATGAAAAATGAAAGACAACAGTATTTAAGAGACTAGGATGGACAGATCTTCAGCTGGAGTCAGTTAATGTAGCACCCTTGATTTCCACTAAATAAAGCAATTTACAAAAGCCAAGCTCCTTGCTCCATATCTTTAAAACAGAACCTGATTTGATAAGAGGTTTTCTTAAACTGTGCTCAACTGCTAAGAAACAACAATGTGTAATTTGTAATGAATCAGGCCTACACCCTACGTTAAGGTTTTCTGATATTTTTAATTTTATTTTTCTAAAAGGGCAAGTGAATAACTCAAATCGTGTGACAGGTTTATTGCAGAATGAAATGGTAGTAGTTTGCATCATGAACTTTTTTTTTTTTTTTTTTTTAGAAACTGGTACAGAACTATAGAAGAGTATTTAAGTTGTTTCTTAGACTGAATTAAATATATAGAGACTACGTTGATTTATACATTGGCCAGTTTGTTCCACTCCATTTTATTTACAGTAAAAATAACTGAAAAGCGGAATTAGTAAGACAGTGTTAAAACAAAATAACCCCTTCCCCCCAATGCTATACATCCAGGTCTTGCTTTTGCAAGATACACTCTTTTATCAACAAAACTCTGTATAACGGATTGCACTAATAAAATTATTTCACTGGAATGATCTGGTTTACATAAGAATTCTTAACTTTTTCTTTGCCTTTTCAAAGAATATATGAAAGTAAATTAGGAATTAGTTGCTAGGTTAAAATTGTTGAGTGTGTTGAGAAAATGCAGATGTATAATCCTGCAAATGTACAATAATCTAACATAAATAATTTTGTAATTAATTAAAGGATTTACAGGTTTGTATTATGTTCTTTCTGCTAGCTTTTCTTTTTGATAGCATGACTCAATATGATCATCCCACATAATCTGGCTCATGTAGCCGTAAGAGTGGTTTTAGTGCACATAGCTATTTTTAAGCAGAATTTCAAATGTTTTGGGGACCTTCCCATATTTTGTGAGGTCCCCAGCACTAACATGCTCTGTCTTACCTAGCCCTCATGGCTCTGCCATCCTTCTAGCCAGGTGCTGGACAGATCTGAAAAACCTAATAATTAACTTGAGTCTTTAACTGGCCAGTGATGATCTTAAAAAATGAGGTGCATTTCTCATCTCACTTTGAGCAGAACGTATAGATTAGATTCAGAAGTACTGTTAGTCCTTGCCAAGTTCTGTGTGTGTCTAGAAGAAAGGAGAAAAAAAGATGGATTTTTTTTTAACGTTCATAAGATCTGGATCTAATTTTTTGATTGTAGAACAAAAGCAATGCCTCATTCAGCATGATGACAAAAGGTTATTTGGCACCTGGCATCAAATACACTTCTTGCAAGAACCTGGCATGAAAACCAAAGTGATAATGAGTAAAATGCCAGCGTCTGTTCAATAAAATCATTGGTGCTGAATGTTAAACAATCATAAACAGAATACTAACCCTTCTAAGAACATTACTCTTCTGTGAATATCCAAAAATTAGGCAAAGGTAAGTTGATAACTTCCATTATATTAAGAAAATAAGCAAATCTAATGTCCCATTACCATTACCTTTAATGTCCCAGGACATTAAGTAAACTGTAGGAAACATATACTGCTACTTATTAATGAATCATACAGGATAGAATGACATCAGCTGAGTTAATGGATACTGTTCTTTGCCAAATCTATGGCTTTAGGTTTAATTATAGTTGAGTTTCATCAATCATACAGCAAAAGAACATGGTGATGAACACTTGTGCTCCAAGCCTCGCCCTTAATCAACGCACATTTGCCTCTCACCCACCTAATACATTTGCCCATATAAAACATTTGAGAGAGAAAAGAGAACTGTGATCCTTAGAGCTTGATAACAAATAGCTGCATTAGAAGGAATCGTTTCTTGTCCTTTTGCTCCTAACCACAAATACAGATACAAACCACAATGTTTAGACCCAAGAGTTCTCTGCGTTTCTGATTGCTTTACTCTATTGCTGCTAATCCATGTCTCCTTGGGATAGTCACTTTTGATTAATTGTGCCATATGTAAAAAAAGTGAATGGTATTGTTCTGCATCTTTCATGGGATTGTGAGGACTAACATTTCTAACACATTTTACAGATTAAGGGCCACTGAGATGAGTAGAAAAAGTATCACGCACATCAGCAGTCTGGATTAGCACTTCAGAGAAAAAATGTTCTAATACAATTGTGAAACATCCTTTTCTCCCCACAAAATTCAGTGGAAGCAAAACTGGGTATTTTCTCTTTCTCCCTTTAAATACCCTGCATGACAGGCAAGGAAATCGAGAAAAAATAAAGTTTATTAATAGCAGCATGTCATTAATTTAAATATACACAATAGCTTCCAGCAGTATATCTAGCAGTATATCGTACCATGTGGAAAACAGGTTATTTCTAGATAAAGTCTGAGGAATTAAGGACTACCCTTTTTTCATAGAAACCTTGCCTCTGATTCAGCAGTGATACTAACAGCCATGCTCCTCGAACTTCACAGAGCTTTGAGCAGCAAATATTCAAGATGGAAAACGCTCCAGATGTGACCTGCATTCTCCCTCTTCTCCGTTCAACAAATACCTCCCAAATTTCCTGTTCCTGCTACTCTCATCAGCTACATATAGAGCAGCAGGGAAACAATAAGCAAGTTTTCTTGGCTAATTGTATGTATCCACAGAAATCTACGTGTTGTCTACATGCCGGTAAACTAAGAGTACAACCCTGTCATCAGCAGTTAGTGAAAGTTTCTGCTGATCACAGGTGACTTGCTTGAGTAAGCATGGGATTCATCTCAGGAATACAATATGCAACCACTTTCAGTAAAATGTTTATCTTCTTAGCAGTAGGTCTCTTGGTATTACCCCCCTTCTTGTATATAATTATATTATCTTGATTTTCATAATTACATGCTAACCTGAGAAGTGTCCACTTCCCCATACTTACAATGCAGCGGAAAATTTAGTGAAAAGAGTGTTTTTACTTTCAAAATATATTTGTATTAAAACAGCATATAACAAAAATATACATATATATAAATGTGCTCTCTCATAAAGACCATCGCTAGCTGATTATGCATTTAAAATGAAATGATTATCCACTGAGAGTTAAAAAAACATTTAAACAAGCAGTGCTTATGGATGCCACTTCTGTCAAACTTCATACTAAGACAACTGTATTTGTATCTGCAACACTAATTAGTACCTAACATGAATACTATACATTCACACCTGTTAATTAATCTTCATTACTTTTCCTGAAAAATAAGACATATTACAGACTTTACAATAATAGAAACTAAGATTTAGAAGCTATGCTGGGACTGCCCTATAGGCAGGGGACCCGAGGGGGCCAGGGCACACTGTATTCTTAGACCAGCTCTTCTCACATCCACACTGCCAGCAAATGCATGACCACCCACCGGTTGTCTGCAACTCTCACGTCTCACATGACAAGAGATCAACGTTGTCCATATGGTCTTTGCTTCCTGACCATGCCGCAGGGGCATGAACAAAATCTCCATTCATTCCTTCTACTGAGTCACAGAGGTTGCCCAGAGCCCAGCCCTTGACATGCACTCCTGTCCAAACAGTCTGCACTCATGGCATGTTTGGGTCGAGCACGGGCAATACTAGCATAGCCAGGGATAAATTACTGCGTATCCAATACTCCTAGAGTTCCTAAATCTACCAAAAAATACAGGATCACACCTACAGAGTACACTGTTGAGACCCAGAGTGACCCTACAAAATATTCCAGCCACTGCATAATATTGTGCCTAATGCAGCACTGACAATGTTTAGTAAACAAAGACTTACAAAATCTCATAGATACCGGTTTCCTTCATGTAGCCTTATTATATTCAGAGCAGAAAGTGCATAGTCAAATTTATTCATAAAAATGTTGTTTTAATAACTAACATATGGTAGTCTCTGGAATACCGATACATTCAAGAGAGGGGGAAGAAAACCAACAAGATATTGTAAGCTAAGGAAGATCAAAAGAAACAAAGAGTGCAATTAATTTCATCCATTTTTAGAAGTAATTGTCTTTGCACCTTATCCAAAATTTAATGAGCATTATTTCTCCAGCATGTAAAAAAGCTTTGTTCTTTTGACTTAATTGATTTGTATACTCCGTAGGAAAAGTGTATCTGAAGTTCAGTGACCTTGATAGTTGAAAGAAATAGAGCAGTCTGTGGGTGTAATACACAAGACGACTGCAAACCCTGGAAACCTAACTATAAAATCGATTTACTGTTCACTAAAACTCTATTGTAGTATATGTGCGTTTCGCAATTTCAGTTATCTTCCTTATACACTCAAATTATTTTTGTAACTATTATTTAAAATCTTTTATTTTTCCTTCCTTGTGATTTAGCTCTTCATTCTCAGGGATTTCATGGCATATATAGAGGTTTCCAGTGAAAACAGTAAGAATTAAATGGCTAGTGAAAAATTTTCCCACCGACAAAGAGAGCAGTATCCTCTGGACAGAAAAACAAGACAAAAAAACCTTAGGTTACCACTAGCCTGGATTTTATACCTTGCATTGTAGGGACTAGTCTGAATGCGGCCAAAGGATTATGGGCTCAATGCATTAGAAACACTGAACTGAGGTAGTAGAGGAAAGAAAGGAAAGGCTGTGGCTGCTGTCTGACATGAAGAAGAAAATTATTTTCAGTGAATATATTAAGCCCAGAAGGAGCCATGTTTACATTCCATTTTTGCCCCTTAAGGAAAGATTAAGCTCTGTATTGTTCAGTATGTAAATTCCAGTTACAGTCTAATGAGATTCCTGCAAAATATCCTATTAACACTAAAGGTTCGGCTCTGAGATTGTACTTACATATGTTGCTTATCTTTTTCTCATCAGGGTTCTTTTATGCTCCTGGATGAGTTTCTCAGCTGGATCATCCTAAAGCATAGAAATTATGAGATTGCTTACCTGTACTTTAGGAGATTAACTCACGCATTCTACGACCGCCCACCTAGACTCCGTGGCCATAAAAAAACACCTTTGTAAGTCAATGAGCAAATCCACTTAAGATTTAAAAGTGGCCCAAATATAACATGCAGACATGGTATCGTGTATAATAGTAGTATAAATATCACCTCCTTGCTGCTCCACTAAATTTTGCAACATCAAAGCCAGTAGATCTCTTGGGATACCTTACAGGGAGGCTAGGGAATAGCATAACCATTTCGTATCTGCAGAGCTTTCAAACAGCAGAGGTGTTGTGACACGAGACTTCAAACTGAGCCTCATGTCCCTGGAGAGAAGTTAGAATTACAGCACATGATGCTTCATTACCACGCGTATCGCTACAACAAGAAGGTAGTATATTGTTGAACTTGCACTATATAGGGTTATATATGTGATATATAGATGTGCTTTTAATATTAATGTATGTATATGGCTACTTAATTTAAACTACAAGCAATTCTGTTTTTAAAATTATCACTTTTAAAATTCTATGCAAAATCATGATTAGCAAGGTTAAAATACAAATGTCTAATAATCTATTAAAATCTTTTAAATGATCATTTAAAAATATACTGAGCCAATAGTGCCTCACAAATCTTAATGAGCTGAAGAAAATCTTTCTCATTTGGATTAATTCCTTGAATGCTGGAGAAATGGCTTTGAGCTGAAAAGCAGGCAGGCTGCCTATTTCAGCCTATGACAAGAAACTGGTAAGAAAATATGTGATCTATTAATTCTAAACTTTGGAAGAAGTAGATCCAGAAAATCAAGGTAGAGCTCCTGGTATACTTGATAGGTGTTTAGCCTTTTCATTCCTACAACTTTGGACTAATTTGGCTCTTCTGATAACTGCACTTTCAGTTTTAGGTAGCAAAATACCTTTGAAAATGTTTCATATGATGACTAGAAAAAAAATAGTTACAATCACATTTCCTTCTTTAGTAATCAGTCTGTCATCCAAAACACATTTTGAAAAACTTATTTTTTCTATTCTAAATTAAATGCACTCTGAGGACAGTTTTCTGCAACTAATTAAAAATGATATTTCGCATATTTTCATCAAACAAATTCGTATCCACATTTAACATAACAGAATGAAAGCAAAAATATAATTTAATGGATTAGATACATTATTCACTATTTTTAACCTCTTAAAATAAGTTGCATTAGAAATTAAAAAATAAAATTGTGAGTAACCGTATGTTAAGTTATATCCAAATAAATAAATACAAATATATAGTATGTATTCTTGCCTAAGCAAAAATAAATCCCACATTTAATTTAAAAGTTATGGTTTTTGGAAGATCGTATTTTATTATTGTTCCAATTAATGAGAGCAAGCCTTCCTTTAAGAAAATAATTGAGACCTGCAAGTGAATTTTCAGTCTACTATGCTAAATTTAAAATCAAGGATTTAAATCACTTTCACTTAAATAGGTCTTCCCTAGTTGTGAACCACTTTACAATCTACCTCTAGTTTCATCATTCAGATGTTGCATGGACCATATACAAGGTAAATTTGAACGTTTTGAATAGTGTCTTTTTGAAAACTGATACTTGGAAGATGATTAAAGTACATAAAATACTGCATAATCCTGCAGTTTTCATGAGATGTACTTGTTGTTCCCAAAAGAGGTGTTCCTGGCACTTGCCGAGTCGCGTGGCCCATTTCATGAAAACTGCAAGGTTTGCCAATTCGTTATGGAATTCATGATGTAGGTGTGGTATGGAATTTCATTTTGCTGCTTTTAAATAGCTATGTCTTTTGGACTTCTCTTCTTCCTTAGCAATTGGCCAAACTGACTCCTTTGATACCGCTCTCTTCCAAAATGGAAACAGCAAAACAAATCTGTTGCATAAGCCAGTGCCAAGCCACTGTCTGCTTGTAGCCCCGGATAGTGCTGGATGTGATGCCACCCCACATCATCAAGCAGCTTCCAATGCAGCTATACTCATGGGAGCAATCACACAGGCCTGTGCTCCGCATCCACCATACAACTTACACTGAAAGAGGAAAAGCATCTCTGACACCAAATTGCATAAATATTTAATGAAATAATTTTATCTGTGCATCTGCAATCTCTTTTTATGGAAAGTATCTTTAATCAACAGATTTTTATTCTGTTCCCTTCATTCATCAGATGGGAATTGAATATTGGCACGTTACCTTAGCATATAGACATTTTGGCTGGTTAGAGAAAAGCAGTTCTGGCACGCTAGCCCTCAATCCATGGTGCTCTTCCTACCCTAGTGATGTTCTGCCCCTATAGCTTTGGGTAAAAGAAAGGCAAATACTGGTGAAGACGCACAACTACATTTCTCAAAAGAAGGCACTCTTTAGTTCTGTTGCTGCCTTAGTAAGGTGTGGGAAGCAAACTGGCGAGAGCAAAGGGGTGGAAGCTGCAGAAGAACAACAGTTCTAGAATGCAACTAACTCCCCAAATATTTAGTACACATTTTCCTATATCAAAGCCAATTCATTTGTTCTTTTCAAATTTTCCAGATGCAATAAATATATTCATTTTCCAATTATAGCCAATTTCTTTAGTGGAATTTTGTGCCTTACTTCAATTTGTACTGTGCTCCATGTGGTCAGAATAAATTCAAGAATTGTTGCTTTCCATATTTTAATGGTATAAGAAAATAGCATGTTAAAAAAAAAATCCACTTAACAGTGAGGTCTAATAGGTTAGGAAATAACCTTCCAAGGAAATGGTATACTTAAAATGAAACTGCAAAAAGCATAACTAGCATAGAACAGAGAGACAATGCTGAAAAATATATACAGAATGAATCAGATTGTCTTTTTTTAATCTCTATACTCAAGTAAAATATCAATGAGAATAAAGTTTCAATAGTTCTGCACACAAATGTCATGTCATATGCAACACAGTTCTGTAATCCAGTTACATCTAAAATTTAATTGCAGTTTTTCACTGAAACTGGGGGAGGGAGAGCCCTCAGTGTACATGCAGATTAGATCCAGTCTCCTCTCAAACAAAGCAGCAAATTAAGATGCCTTTTGGGTCTCAGTTTAACAAACCATCTTAAAAGAAAGGCAAGTTTTAACTTTGAAACTCCAAAGAGTGATTCCGTATGGGTTTTGTTGTTGTTGTTTTTAAGGAAAAAAAGATGTCCTTGGTTATCACTACAGGAGAAACTTTTTCTTAAAAAAGCTAATACTTTGGAAATAGTAGGTTTGATTTCTGTTTGCCTCTCTCCACTAATACTCACAATGTAACGATATAACGATATGAATAATAGCAAATCTGATTTTTACCATCTCTTTCTCATTCCATTTCTGCAAATCGATAACAGATTCCTACCATGGGACAGGCAACATAGATTTAAGAAGTTTAAAAATAACCTTGATTAACATTTAATATGACTTTGGTATAAGAACAGTCTAATAAACGTGCACACACACACACACGCACTCCCCTCGGAAAAACGTATTGTGCAACCACTGCTATGAGACATATTCTTGTCAAATAAAGAAAGTACCAATCTTCTTTACTTGAGATGCTCATAGCAGATTAACAGTCAGACTGGAAACAGATGGTTATTTGACCGCTTCTATGAAAAGGTTAACAGGCAACATCTACACCTAATTGACTATATCAGCCAAGAAACAGTTTGCCAAAAGTCTTGTAGCACAGCCATTCCAATATGATAGCACTGCACTTTTAAAAGGTTGTAACAGCTAATAAAATTCTATATTGGACTTTTAAAAATATTTATTTACCTTAAATATTAAAGGAATAGCTCTCTGAAGGACCAAAAGTATTATAAAAATCATCCTATATCAGCCAATATATGTCAAATTTACAAACTCAGATATAAAAATGAATACAGCTGGTTATTCAGATAAGAGATGTATGGCTCAGACCATTCCTTACCAGTCATCTACAACCTCTGTTCAAAGAGAGCAACCAAGACTCCCTGTTGCTCCCTTTTAAAAAAGGGAGCAAAAATATGAAATTCAATTGTAAATAGACATGGATGTTTGTTTAGAAACAGTACAGCATCAAGCACCTAGCTCATGCTGAAGTTACACAACCAGTTACACACCAAGCTTCATTTTAAGTTCCATGTACAGCACAAAAAAGCTAGAGCAAGTCTGCAGCTACAGCAGACAACTATTGGGAATGCATCAGCAGTGTGCAGTTCTCCATTAAAATGAACTAAAAATTGCTATTGGAAAGCTTAACATCACAAAACATAACTTTCATGGTATGTGCAAACATTAGATTACCCCAATTAAACAAACAAAAAAAAAAGCTGTAAAAGAAATGTTTCAGGTATTCCAGCTATTATTTATAGAAATGCAGTGCTTCCCAGCATCATAGCTTATGAACTATAAACCAGAATCCTACATTTTAAAATGAAGTGATGTGTAAAAGTTGCTATCTTTGTGAACATGAGATATTAAAAAATTTCAGAAAAGAATGTGTGAATCAATTAGATTCAGCAAAATAGGTTCTTTAGTATCTGAATATTGTGGATACATTGAGACAACACGTGTCAAAAAACAGTGCTGACAAACACTTTTCTAAATAAAGCACTTAATTTATACCATTTTTGCTCTGAGATATGTAACTTCGTTTATACCTAACCATCGCACAACCAAGGATATTTTGATTAATTCTCTATGTATTCGATTAAATAGCTGTGTTGCCTACAAATGTTTGAGTTAAGAAAAAAATTGTTATTTAATCCAAAAACGTGTTTTTGTAAATAAAATAAAAGCATTTTCCTATACATTTTTCCTATGGAAAGTTTGGTATCATAAATTATTGTATTGTTAAAAAGGTCTTGAATAAAACCAAATTACAATATCTCATGCTGCTCATCCTTTGGCTTCTATCCCAGTAGAGGGTCATGGCTCTGTACTGAAAACACAGTGGGATAATAAAACTGCCTGGAGACAC